CTGATCCGATTTGAAGTTCCAACCTAATACCCGATCGAGTATAGCTAATACTCGACCGAGTATAGACCAAAATTCAGGATCTTCTTTTGTCTTTGAACTTTTGCACCTTCTTTCCACTTTTTGGGTTCACCAACTGTACTTCGAGTGATCAATACCTGCTTGAGCTCAGAATATATCTAATCTAACCTATTTACAAGAGTTTAACAATCTAATCTATTAGACCAAAAGTGTGTAATTTCCAAAGTAAAAGTCAAGCAAAACTAATTAAAAACATAAACATAAATATTGAAATTACGAACGTATCAGGCCTCTCGGCCATACATCGCTCCGTAATCTTTATTTGATGACGTGGAGCTCTCATATAGGCCTCTTGGCCATACATCGCCCCGTCATCTGTATTAGATGATGTGGAGCTCTCATATAGGCCTCTCGGCCATACATCGCTCCGTCATCTTTATTTGATGACGTGGAGCTCTCATATAGGCCTCTCGGCCATACATCGCCCCGTCATCTTTATTTGATGAAGTGGAGCTCTCATATAGGCCTCTGGGTCATACATCGCACCGTCATCTTTATTTGATGCCGCAGAGCTCTCATACGGGCCTCTCGGCCATACATCACCTCGTCATCTTTATCTGATGACGTGGGGCTCTCATCCAGGCCCCTCAGCCATGCATCGCTCCGTCATCTTTATTTGATGACGTGGAGCTCATCATACCGGCCACTTGGTCGTCTCTCCTGGTCATCTTTATTTGATGGCTTGGACTTCTTATAGGCCTCTCGGCCACATGAATCGGTCACTTTATTTGATGACCTGGACATCATATTATGGACGGTCACTCGACCTATCTCTTAAGCATCTTTATTTGATGATTGAAACTAATTATCATGCAGATCTACTCACATCTAGAGACTGGTCTCGGCCATCCCCTCAGCAGACGGACACCGTTGCAGCTCCACACTTAGGCCGAAGGGCTCACCCCTTTTGCTTCATTTTGGGGGGCATCCGGTGTGCTCTTTTTCCCTCATTAGGATTTTTCTCCACTGGGTTTTTCCTAATGAGGTTTTTAACGAGGCATCTCCCTAACGTGGAAAAAAGGTGTCGACCCTCGGTCCCTATTGAAGACATCACGAGACATGCATTACTCTACTCCTCTTCACCTCACTACATTCACCTCAAGGAGTGGGGGACTTGAAGAGCAGGGGACTTAGCGTCTCAAATTTTGTCACGAAGTTTACTCACCAGACGACGACAGATCAGCACACAGTTCTACTCCCTTTCGCCTCGAGTACTCTCGACTCAGGAAGTGGGGGACTCCTGATAGAGTATATAGTCTCGGACCCCCGGGTCTCACTACTATTAGGCCTGGATAGCGGTCCACACACGCTTATCGAATGTATTTTGTATTATTGTACTATTCATACATACATACATACATACATACATACATACATACATACATACATACATACATACATACATACATACATACATACATACATACATACATACATACATACATACTCTAACACTTGAGATTTAATTTAAATGGATTAATAGTACTACTCATATCAACAAGATGCATCCCCTTTTAAGGGAGCTCAACACCCAAGAACTCCAAAGTTAAGCGTGCTTGCACGGGAGTAGTCTTGGGATGGGTGACCCCCTGGGAAGTTTCTCAGGGCGCGCACGAATGAGGAGAAAGTGCGCGGAAAAGGCTAGTGGCGGTTTGTGAGGACAATATTAGAGGTCAAAAGTAACTACCTCGGAGCCTACGGGGCCGGGGTGTTACAAATGGTATCAGAACAACCCTGCGACAGTGTGCTGACTCATTGGATATCGGGCGGTAGGGGTGGGCATAAAAAACCGTAACCGTATAACCGAGCCTAAAAACCGGAAAACCGCCGTTTTTTCCCGGTTAACCGAACCGCAATTTTTTAAATCCACGGTACGGTTAACCAACCGTGAGAATAAACGGTTCGCGGTACGGTTACGGTTTTAGAAATATGTTATTATCGGTTAACCAATAACCGGTATGTTCATGTCTGGTCATGAACTTCACGTTCTCAGAGAACTTGGAAAGATAAATATGTATCCAACACATCTAGATACATCAATTCTAATAAACATGTGAAGAAACCAAATTATGTTTGTCACTATAGAATTTCATATTATTAATAATTAGTCAAAGCTTTTGTGAGTTATAATTAATTAGCCCATTCTGTAATCGTGAGACTTGAACACGTGTATTCTTTTTTTGAAGCAATTGAACACGTTTATTCTTATTAAGTGTATTTTATCTTTTCCTGTATTCCACTCTCAAAATTTATTTTTCTCTTGTTTGGACTTAATTAATATAGAAAGAACATGGTGTGTGTATATATTTAATCAATGGTTTGATGGTTTTTGGTTAACCGGTTTGTGGTTAACCGAAGTTTTGGTTAACCGATACTCGGTTAACCGAAGCTTTGGTTAACCGATGCTCGGTTAACCGAAGTAATAGGTTTCTCGGTTAACCGGAAAATTGGTTAACCAAAACACGGTTAACCAACCACGCCCACCCCTATCGGGCGGGCACTTAGCGGGGGAAGATTCTGGGATTTGATTGAGATTTGAGATTGGTTTATGGGCACAACGAGGACGTTGTGTTCCTAAGTGGGGGTGATTGTAACACTTGAGATTTAATTTAAATGGATTAATAGTACTACTCATACCAACAAGATGCATCTCCTTTTAAGGGAGCTCATCACCCAAGAACTCCAAAGTTAAGCGTGTTTGCACGGGAGTAGTCTTGGGATGGGTGACCCCCTGGGAAGTTTCTCAGGGCGCGCACGAATGAGAACAAAGTGCGCGGAAAAGGCTAGTGGCAGAAAAGGCTAGTGGCTAGTGGCGGGGTGTTACACATACATACATACATACATACATGCATCACGACCGGCCCCTCAGCCTCGGCGTGATTATCTATCTCAAGACCGCCTTCCTCAGCGCCGAGAGTCTTGAGCTAGCGATCGGGCTCACCATCCCTTCTTGGATGGTGACCATCACCTTTATATGATGATCAGCTCACCATCGCCTCGTCATCATAATTCGGATTGGCTCCTTCTCATCGCCATCCGTGCATCACGACCGGCCCCTCAGCCTCGGCGTGATTATCTATCTCAAGACCGGCTTCCTCAGCGCTGAGTCTTGTGCTAGCAATCGGGCTCACCATCCCTTCCTGGATGGTGACCATCGCCTTTATATGATGATTGGCTCATCATCGTCCCGTCATCGTATTTCGAACTGGCTCTTCATCATCGCCGTCCGCACATCACGACCTTCCTTTCGGCCTCGGCGTGATTATTTATCTCAAGATCGGCTTCCTCAGCGCCGAGAGTCTTGAGCTAGCGATCAGGCTCGCCATCCCTTCCTGGATGGTGACCATCGTCTCTATATGACGACCGGCTCATCATCGCCTCGTCATCATATTTCGGATTGGCTCCTTCTCATTGCCATCTGCACATCACGACCGGCCCTTTGGCCTTGGTGTGATTATTTATTCAAGACCGGCTTCCCAACGCCGAAGTCTTGTTATAGCGATTGGGCTCGCCATCCCTTCTTGGATGGTGACCATCACATCTATATGACGGTTGGCTCATCATCGCCCCGTCATCATATTATCGGACCGGCTCCTCTTCATCGTCGTCCGCTCATCAGCGTCGTCGTCCTCATATTCAGACCGGCTCCTCAGCGCCGTCGTCCTCATATTCAGACAGGCGTACACCGCCTTGTCCTCATATTCAGATATAGCGAACATCTTGCGGTCTCTGGCTGAAAGGCTAAAGGAGCCCAGAGTTCAGTCATAGGCCCAATCAGCCATATATCGCTCTTTCATCTTTATTTGATGACGCGAAGCTCATTTACAGGCCCAATCGGACATATACCGCCCATCATCTTTTATTTGATGACGTGAAGTTCATTTGTAGGCCCATCGGCAACATATCGCTCCGTCATCTTTATTTGATGACGCGAAGCTCATTTACAGACCCAATCGGCCATACATCGCCTCGTCATCTTTATTTGATGACATGGGGCTCTCATATAGGCCTCTCTACCATCGCTCCGTCATCTTTATTTGATGACGTGGAGCTCTCATATAGGCCTCTCGGCCATACATCGCTTCGTCATCTTTATTTGATGACGTGGAGCTCTCATATAGGCCTATCGGCCATACATCGCCCCGTCATCTTTATTTGATGATGTGGAACTCTCATATAGGCCTCTCGGCCATACATCGCTCCGTCATCTTTATTTGATGACGTGGAGCTCTCATATAGGCCTCTCGGCCATACATCGCCCCATCATCTTTATTTGATGATGTGGAGCTCTCATATAGGCCTCTCGGTCATACATCACCCCGTCATCTTTATTTGATGCCGTGGAGCTCTCATACGGGCCTCTCGGCCATACATCGCCCCGTCATCTTTATTTGATGACGTGGATCTCTCATCCAGGCCCCTCAGCCATGCATCGCTCTGTCATCTTTATTTGATGACGTGGAGCTCATCATACCGGCCACTTGGTCGTCTCTCCTGGTCATCTTTATTTGATGGCTTGGACTTCTTATAGGCCTCTCGGCCACATGTCTCGGTCACTTTATTTGATGATCTGGACATCATATTATGGATGGTCACTCGACCTATCTCTTAGTCATCTTTATTTGATGATTGGAACTAATTATCATGCAGAGCTACTCACATCTAGAGACTGGTCTCGGCCATCCCCTCAGCAGACGGACATCGTTGCACCTCCACACTTAGGCCGAAGGGCTCACCCCTTTTGCTTCATTTTGGGGGCATCCGGTGTGCTCTTTTTACCTCATTAGGAATTTTCTCCACTGAGTTTTTTCCTAATGAGGTTTTTAACGAGGCATCTCCCTAACGTGGAAAAAAGGTGTCGACCCTCGGTCCCTATTGAAGACATCACGAGACATGCACTGCTCTACTCCTCTTCACCTCACTACATTCACCTCAAGGAGTGGGGGACTTGAAGAGCGGGGGACTTAGCGCCTCAAATTTTTTCACGAAGTTTACTCACCAGACGACGACAGATCAGCACACATATCTACTCCCTTTCGCCTCGAGTACTCTCGACTCAGGGAGTGGGGGACTCCTGATAGAGTATATAGTCTCGGACCCCCGGGTCTCACTACTATTGGGCCTAGATAGCGGTCCACACACGCTTATCAAATGTCTTTTGTATTATTGTACTATTCATATACCATCTGTATGTACTATATTAATCTTTTATGTAGTTGGGCTTATCGGGCCCATATTAGCGACCCGACCCATTATTTCTCTATTTATACTCCTTTTGGAGCTTGTAACTCTAGAACACAACTCATTCATACATTACTATTCATCATCCTCTCTCTACTCCATAGCTCAAATCTCTCCTAATTATATATGTTTGGATCCTAATAATCCATCACATACATACATACATCCACTTATCCCCACACTTGAAACAAAAACCCTTCCCGGTTCTTTCTTGCAACACAGTTTGTGTCAGCCTCTGTCCATTTCTCCAGGAGTTATTGAACCCTGGTTGTTCTCCTGCTTCGTAGTCTGTCACAACCTTGGAAGCAGTTGGGTTATTAGAATAGGTTCTCCCTAGTGCTCTCCCCCCAGTGCAAGGATTTAGTCAGAGTTCCTTCTTTCTCCTACCAACCTCTCTTATCCTCTTCTGTATGTTTAGCTGTCCTTACTGCAGCATTTTTGTCTTCGAGTAACAGTGCATGGTCCATCATCTCCGGTAAGGATCTCGTAGGATACAATTTCAGCTCAGCTCTCACTTCCTCCCTCGATCCATTCATGAAGACCCCTTTCAGCATCTCAGTGTCTGTATTCTCTTGGCTCCTTAAGGATTTTGCACCAAGTCCGGTTGAAATCTTCGAATAAGTGCTTCCTGAAAAGTTTCCCAGTTCCTATTATAAGTTTGGCCCTCCCACCATTGGAACCAGTTGAGGGCCTTATCCTCATCAGGTATGTCATTCAATCTAAAAAATCTTTCCACTCATACTAGCCAGCCATAAGCGCTGTTCCCATTGAACATCGGAAGATCTATCTTTCTCCCGTTTCGATGGTGAACTCTGGTCTTCGAAGTTTCATGGGTAGCAGAAGATACTTGGGATGATCGCGACTCATCGCGAGTGCGAGAGGTGCTGTGATTTTCATCTGGAGTTCGTCGTCGGAATTTCAGGAACGTCCTCTGGGTCGACCGTGGTTCTGCTGCTGCCTGCATGTTGTATATCCTCTCGTCCATCTTTTTACTTCGATCGATACACAATTTAGTGTTCAAACCAAAAAACTTATGATTCAATGAAAAACATTTTTTACTAGGTCGGTAATCTTTTTCAATCAAATCGGGTAGCTGGGATCTCAAATCCCAATTATCTATTTTCACACGCAATACCTTTTTTAAACGTTTCTACATTGATCTATAGTAAAAGCAAACAGTGTCTCACATGCATATCCACACGCAAGATATTTTCAGAATCCTTCCCCTTTTAGATTAAGATAGACTACACCTTTTAATTAGGCAACAACATTTTTAGAAAGTCAACTTTATTTTCTATTGAGACTCACTTTATTAAAAAAAAATAAATAGAAACATCTAAATTAGCCTTACTAAAAACTAAAAAGCCAACACCGGAGGGCAGAAGCGTGAAGAAGACTAGATGCTTTCACACTCCACCACCACCCCCGCCCAAGCCTTAATTCTTGCTTCCTCTCTACTGGTGTAGACAGGAACAATCACCGAATTTAACACCGGCCACAACCCTACCAGACAGAAGGTAATTAAGGATACAATAGGGACCGATTCCCATGAGTAGGGATGCGATTATGAAAGTTTCAGCTGCCTATCAAACCTAGATTGCAGGGACAATTCGATCGATTCTGAACTTTCCGGCGGTGGTGAATGCCGACCGGTGTGACTGCGTGAGGGGCAGCAGGGCCTTTAGTGGACTCATCTTCTCCACCGTCTTCTTCGGTAGAATTAATTATCCATCGTGTTGGCTTGCCTTCTATAAATTTAATTTCCACCATGTTGCTTGTTGTTAATATATTGTTGGCCCAAACTATTTTTGTACACTATACCCATTTATCTGTCTGGCCTGTCAATATTTGCCTCTCCCGTTAGAATTTGAATTCAGCTCATTATTGAGCTATTGATGAGTTGTGTGTGCAGTGTATTATTTGAGTGTTCTTGTGACCCCCTTCTAATAAGGTCAAATTCTTCCATGTTATATACCCTCGCTGCACCCTTGTTTGTTCAGTGCATGAAACACACACCAGAGACTGGCTGAGTGAGAGTTCTTGAGAGGTCCCCTTCTCCTTCTTGGTGAGGTTGAGAGTGTAACTGTTAGCTCCCTTAGCCTAGGTGTGCACAAGAGACAATCGAAAAACCGAGCTCCGGACTGCCTGAGCCGGAATAAGTCGACGGAATCGATTTTGCCGGATTCCGCCATCTGGAACGCTCTGCCGCCGTACGCCGCCGTCCGCTGCCGTATGCCAGGCTGGAGCTCGCTGCAGGTCCCTGAAGTTGCCTGGTCGTTCGCACGAGCTCACTGGTCTTCCACCGTGGTCCCTGCTTGTTGAAATCGAGCTCACCGGAAGCTGAAGCCTCCACCCCTGGAAGTTCAGCCGTCTCCTGGAAGCTCGCCGCCGCAGGGAGTTGCTCACCGATTTGTTCGTCGCTGGAGCAGCCTACCGTCGTCATTGCAGGCTACCGTTGCCGCAAAGCTGGATCTGGTTGTTGGCCTGGACCTGCGCAAATCGCTAGACGTTGCCAAACTCATCGGAAGTTGAAGCCCCGCCATTGCTCTCCGGAATTCGACGCTGGAGCCGCGGGTCATCAATTGCGAAGGTCACCTGCGATTTTTCTGGTTCGCAGAAAGGCTGTAGCCGCAGGGACGAAGAGTACTGCTTCCCTGTTTCTTGCTGAAGAAGAAGACTTGACCTGCGTAAATAGCTGGAGCGAAGCTTGACATACGAGCTGGGCTGGACCTGGAGGCTTGACACACCTTGACGGGTTGCTGGAACTGGGCTATTGGGTGGCTTGGCTGCTCAATTGCTGGAGTTGGCAGGAAGCTTTGGACTGGACCTACAAGCAGGAGCTGGACCTGGAGCTCCTGGATCTGCTGGAAGAGCTGCTGGACCTGGAGAGCATCTGGACCTGGTCTGGTATTTTTTGGAGTGTTGGAGCTGCTGGGTTGCTGTTGGACTACTGGGCTGAAGCTACTGTTGGGCTGCTGGAGCAGCTGGACCGCTGGTCAACGCTGGTCAACTGCTGGTCAACGCAGGTCAAAGTCAGTCAACAGTCTGAAAATCCCATATTTTTTAAAATTTGGGTAGGTAAGGTCGAAACCCTCTCCTAGGGTTTCGCTAAGGTAAATTGGGGATAAACACCCTAGGTGCACCGGGTGGCTCCGGATTTAATTTATTCCCCCTTCCCGCGGGCCGCCGATAGATTGTATCTCGGCCGCCAACCCCCCAGGTGCGTTTGCTAAACCCTCTCCTTTGTGGCAGACTATTTGATTTGATTAAATTGAATTGCTAAGTGTTGTTAATTTCAATTCTTGTGCGTAGGGGTGGTTTATTGTGTAGAAATCATGTTTTAGGTTTATTACTGCTTTTTAAATTGATTGAATTGTTGTGTTGTTTGTGCTGAAAATTTATTATTTATTTGTGCTTATACGGAAGAACAAGGGGTTTGAAATTTGAGTTTGGTGCTCATTAATACTCTCCGTGTGTTCATGCTAGTTGCTTCGTATATTTGTAGCCTAAAAAATATTTAAATTGTTTTTCAGCAAAATTTACATTTTCTTTTGTTGTTTGTTTTTCTTTGTGAAAATGTCTGCTTATAGTCAGTATGGTATGGCTCCATTTAATGGAAAATCTGATTTTATCATTTGGAAGCAAAAAATTAAATGTATTTTAATCCAACAAAAATGTTTTAAAGCAGTTGGCGAAACTTATTTGATTTCTGACACAGAAGATAAAAGGGCTGAAATGAATGAAAATGCTTGTTCTGTGATTTATTTGAACTTATCTGATTCTGTGATTAGAAAAGTTGGAATTTTAGAGAGTGCTAAAATTCTGTGGAATAAATTAGATGAACTGTATACTGAAACCTCTCTGCCTAGTCGGATGTTTTTACTTGAGAAGTTCTTCCAATTTAGACTAGATATGTCTAAGGATATTGAGGAAAATCTAGATGATTATTCCCCTATTGCTCTTTTAAATGCTATTCCTGATTCCTTTGGTGATGTGAAATCTGCTATTAAGTATGGTAGAGATAATGTGACTCTTGACATTGTGGTTAATGGTCTTAAGAGTAAGGAATTAGATTTAAAACAGATGGGTGAGGGTAGAAAATTCGAGGAGGTTATGCATGTGAGGGGTAGAGAAAATAATAGACGACATAGATCTAAGTCTAGGTCTAATTCGAGACGTTGCTATTATTGTCATGAATCTGGTCATTTCATAAGAGACTGTCTTAAATCTAGGGAAAATAAGCACAACGAGCATGCTAATTTGACTACTTGTGAAGATAATTTAGGTGATGTTTTTATGATGAGAAATCTATGTGATTATGACTATTTGAGTTCTCTTATATCTGATTCTTTGGAAAAATCAGATTGGGTGGTAGATTCTGGTTGTGCTTTTCATATGTTCCCTTTGAAAAATGTTTTTTCAGGGGCATTTTTTACCAAACACAAAAAAGTCTTATTTTAGGAATTTTCAAACTTCTACTCCTATTTGTGATTTTTAGCCATGTTTTACTCCTATTTAGATAATTCACTCTATATATAAAGGGGTTGAGATCCGGTAAAAACACCTTAAATGAGAAATAGGAAGGGATCCTCTACGCAGATTGGGCGTACATTGGATGGAATCGTATGACAATAATGAAAAGATTTTGGGTGATACAGTGCGCTAAATCTTAAATTTTTTCCCTGGAATAGTCTCACCTTAAGAAATGCATTATTATAGAGGGTATAAGAGTCTTTCTGATTTCTTACCAAAATTAAAATAAAATGATTACTATGCGATAATCGCTATTGCACCGATAATCGCGCTCCCATTAATTTTAACCGGCTAAAGTAGGAAAGCGCAGAGTTTTTCATTACTCTCATCACTTTCCAAGAACGAAGTGCAGAAGGGGAGTCCGAAAAAGGAATCACAGGGTAAAAAAATGGCATCGGTTCAAGAAGAAAATAAATTTTCAATGAAACTATATCAGTGTTATGTATTACATTGTAATACAGTGTTCAGTGAAATTGTAGATTTTCCACTAAACAATATTATCACTGTGTCAGAAACTAGAAAAAGACTAATTCTAGACAAAGCTTCGCCAGAAACTAGAAATGGACTAGTTCCAGGTGTGATTGTGATAATTTTACTAGTACAGTACAATTACAATAATTGTACCGATATAGATTTTAGACTTGCCACTGCGCAATACTCTCACCGTGCCAAAAATTAGAAAAGGACTAGTTCTAGACAAAACTTTTGCGAGAAACTAGAAATGGACTAGTTTAGACGAGTTTGTGATTATTTTAACAGTATAGTGCAATCATAATATATGTACCGATAAAAATTTTAGACTTGCTATAAAGTAATATTGTCATCGTGCCATAAACTACAAAAAGACCAGTTGTAGACATTTTTTTTTTGCCAGAAACTAGAAATGGACTAGGTCTAGGCGAGCTTGTGATAATATTAAGAGTATAGTCCAATTATAGTGCATGTTTTCTCTATGGAATAATTATAATACATATTAAGAATTGAATTATATTATAGTGTTATTTGAGAATAAATAATGATAACTAAATTAAATTGTTCAACTATTAAGATGAGTTACATTTTAATACTCCCTCGGTATTTTTTTGTTTGCTACAATAGGTGTTGGCACATTTTTAAGAGTGAAATAGTAGAGGTAATGAATAGTATAGAAAAAGTAGGAGAGATGTGGAAAAATATGAAAGTGAAGATAAAAAGTAGAAAAGTAAGAGTAGTTGAATATTTTTAAAGGAAAAACTTACCAAAGAGAGAAAGTGTATCAATTTTTTTAATACATCCAAAAAAGGAAAGTTTAGCAAACAAAAAATATGGAGGGAGTATAAAGTTCTACTAAATATTCAGATAGACATAATAAAATCAGTAAAAAAATGTAGAATTTCTAACCTCAATTAGAAGAACACGAAAATATAGAACTAACAAGAACACTTTTTGTATTATTTTTGTAACTAAATATTTATTTTTGTAGTTGAATAGATATAATGTTGAATGTATTTAAAGAGGGGGGGATTGAGGTTGTGGGGGTGAACCGTACAAATATTGGAGAGTTGAGATTATTTTAGCAAATCTGATGGCTGAGCATAGAGGGAGAGTTGAGATTATAATAGGTTGTGGGGGTGAACCGTACAATCCATGTGCTTCTTGTTTGGCCAATCAGCACCAAGGCCGGACTGCACTCCCTTGGAAAAAGAGAAAACAGATTAGCTAAATCCGAAATGTTAAAGGAAAAAAAATACCAGAGTCGGATTCCTCTAAAGTCCCCACCAGACCCTACAAAACTCGAATTACCTTCCTTCCGTAAATTCATACCCTAAATCTGACATTCTTATTTTGGGAATGGGTGCATGAAATTCCCGTAAATCCATCCTTTTCTCTCACTCTACATCTCCTACTCCTTTCCCTCTCCCTCACTCAACTATTCGCTCCTACTTCCCTCTCCTCATACTTCAGGTTGAAAATGGAGATTGGTCAAATTATTGTGAAGGTTGAGACGCTCACGAGCCCGTTTCACTACAGATCTCTAATTGAAAACCTGCGCCTCGCAGTTGCCCTCACCGAAGATGATGGCATTACTACTATCAAAATCAGAGAGTGTCTACTCTTGCCACCGCAAATCAATCTTAAGGAACACACGGTGCCACTAATCAACATTATCTTTGAAAATGGAACCGATTCTTCTCTGCAGTGCAGATTGCGTAAGGACAACCTGTATTTTGTCGCCTTTAAACCTCAAAATGGAGGATGGTTTGAGTTTGCCAATCCAGATGGTAAGATAATTGAAGATTCAATATCAATTGGTATTAATTAAATGATCAAAATGGCTTATGACCTATGACCTACCTAGTCAAACTGGCATGGCTTCCTAGTCTAGTCTTTCGTAGCTAGTCCAAGTCTCAATAAGCGTCTCATTTCATGCGGATTTTTGATAGCCTTTTTTGATGAATGATATTTTTGATCATCTTTTTACAGTATGTCCTTGTCACCTTTTACACAATGAGTATCTTCTGCTAAATCAGATCTGAATCATTTCAGACGAAAATGAAGTTTTAACTTGTCGTTTTTGCACTATGTCCTTGTATAGCCTATCTGTATCTTCAATTATCTTACCATCTGCTAAATCGTTTTTGACTAGGTAGGTCATATGTCATAGGTCATAAGCCATTTTGATCATTTAATTAATACCAATTGATATTGAATCTTCAATTATCTTACAATCTGCATTTGCAAACTCAAACCATCCTCCATTTTGAGGTTTAAAGGCGACGAAATACAGGTTGTCCTTACGCAATCTGCACTGCAGAGAAGAATCGGTTCCATTTTCAAAGGTGATGTTGATTAGTGGCACCGTGTGTTCCTTAAGATTGATTTGCGGTGGCAAGAGTAGACACTCTCTGATTTTGATAGGAGTAATGCTATCATCTTCGGTGAGGGCAACTGTGAGGCGCAGGTCTTCGATTAGAGATCTGTAGTGAAACGGGCTCGTGAACGTCTCAACCTTCACAATAATTTGACCAATCTCCATTTCAAACCTGAAGTATGAGGTGAGGGAAGTAGGAGCGAATAGTTGAGTGAGGGAGAGGGAAGGGAGTAGGAGCTGTAGAGTGATAGAAAAGGATGGATTTACGGGAATTTCATGCACCCATTCCCAAAATAAGAATGTCAGATTTATGGTATGAATTTATGGGAGGAGGGTAATCCGAGTTTTGTAGGGTCTGGTGGGGACTTTAGAGGAATCCGACTCTGGTATTTTTTTTTTCCTTTAACATTTCGGATTTAGCTAATCCGTTTTCTTTTTTTTCCAAGGGAGTGCAGTCCGGTCTTGGTGCTGATTGGCCAAACAAGAAGCACATGGATTGTACGGTTCACCCCCACAACCTATTATAATCTCAACTCTCCCTCTATGCTTAGCCATCAGATTTGCTAAAATAATCTCAACTCTCCAATATTTGTACGGTTCACCCCCACAATCTCAATCCTCCCCTCTTTAAATACATTCAACATTATATCTATTCAACTACAAAAATAAATATTTAGTTACAAAAATAATACAAAAATTGTTCTTGTTAGTTCTATATTTTCGTGTTCTTCTAATTGAGGTTAGAAATTCTACATTTTTTACTGATTTTATTATGTCTATCTGAATATTTAGTAGAACTTTATACTCCCTCCATATTTTTTTGTTTGCTAAACTTTCCTTTTTTGGATGTATTAAAAAATTTGATACACTTTCTCTCTTTGGTAAGTTTTTCCTTTAAAAATATTCAACTACTCTTACTTTTCTACTTTTTATCTTCTCTTTCATATTTTTCCACCATCTCTCCTACTTTTTCTATACTATTCATTACCTCTACTATTTGACTCTTAAAAATGTGCCAACACCTATTGTAGCAAACAAAAAATACAGAGGGAGTATTAAAATGTAACTCATCTTAATAGTTGAACAATTTAATTTAGTTATCATTAAGGGGGTTGATAATTTTATGAAGTTATGTTTCACACTGATCCACTATTTACTTTAATTTTATACCTTAAAAAATACTATGTACTTTATTTTCATGTCAAATACTCCGTATTACTTTATTTACTTACACATGTTTGATTTTGCTATGGAATGTGGGATCGACTTAAAGTCTTGAACACGTTTGCTATTTTGCTGTGAATTGAAATTCGGTGTGGGATCGGAGTGCGGGAGTATCAGTTTATATATATTTCCTTTTTAATAATACTAGTACGGCCCCCGTGCGATGCACGGTGCATGAGTTTGTTCAAGGGGTATAATTACTGTTACACTTGAAAAATCGATTGGTGATGTACGGAGTATAAGTTAAATACCATGTATACATGATGATGATGATAATTAAGCAAAAAATTGCTTAATTATTACATATTGTAATATGTAACGTTATTATGGTACAATGTTAAACATTAGAGATTATGAAACACTTCTTGGTAGACACCGTTCATTGTTTCATCCACCGGACAACTATAATTGCTTTGAATAAGGATTTTGAGACCTGCACGATTTGTAACCCTTGACACAGCAACAAACAATTGTCCATGACTGAAAAGAGTTTTTTTCAATAAGAGGGTGTCATGAGCGAGCAATTGGCCTTGACTTTTATTGATGGTCATTTCATAAGAAGTCATAATAGGGAAATGCCTCCTTTGAAATCTAAACAGCAACCTAACATTAGACGATGTCAAAGATAGTCACGATATTAAGATTTTCTGTCTTGCACTCATACATTGAGGACTTTACCCTTTAAAATGTGATCACAGATCTTTGTTACGATGAGTCTTGTCTCATCACATAAAAAATGATTGTTCAGTATTACGCAAAAGCATGACCGGGGTACCGACTTTTAAAGTTTTAGCAACGGTGCTATTCAAGAATTATGTAGCGTGCAACTCTTCTATAAGATCATGGGTTGAATCAGATTTGCATACACTCTCTGTATTTATGTACATTCAAGCAACTTCCATGTGATTCAAACTTGTCATGTATATATTTTTTGTGCTTCTTATATACTCCCTCTGTCCCTGAATTATCTTCAAACTTTCCTTTTTCGTCCGTCCCAAAATTATCTCCTCCTTCCCTTTTTGGCAAAGAATTTGTGGTTCACAATCATTCTTACACATTCTTACACATTTCTCTCTCCTCTACACCACACAAAACCCACTATCTTAATTAGTGTGCCCAGCCGAAATGGGAGAAAAAACAGGGACGGAGGGAGTAATATTATAAGAAAATTCCATTGACATTATCCATATAATTGTGTGATTTTTCAAATTTGTTAAACATGGTTTTCATTTCACCAAGCTATCAAAGATTAAACTCCCACTTAATTGATTAAGATCATATCTTGGTTTCTTTTTATAGGTGGTCTAATATGAGGCTTATTGAGTGTTGCAATGGCCACTGAAACAAATACATTATCATGTCGTTTGTCAGATAAACTTTGCTTATGTTTTACGTTAAATAATATCAATACATTTGCATCACACCTTTGTGTGGCTAGTACAGCTCCCATGTGATGCACGGTGGGTGAATTTATTCAAACATTTTATAATTTTTATTTAATGTTAATATGTTTGTTTTAGTGTTGTAAACACATTACATGATAATGTTACAAAAATAAATTGTAGTAATGAGGCCGCATGATAATGTTACAAAAATAAATCGTAGTAATGAGACCGCACATGTAATATATCAAAAACATTTATATGAAAATATAATATACTCCGTACGTTTATTACATTCAATTAAAAATTAGAGATTATGAAACACGTCTTTTCAAGAGCATTCGTAAATTATCATCAGAATGTCGATCATCATCGTTTTTAATTAAAATTTTGAAACCTGCATGATTCTTAAACCTTGATGCTGCAACATACAGAGTACGATTGCTAATGATTAAGACAGTTTTTTTTCAAACGACATATTGCTTGTATGGAACTAAACTCACAATGATTTTTAATACGCTATTATTTAAAAGATGAAAATGCGATGTGAATATTACTCACTCTGCCCAATGACTTTGTCCCGTTTTATCGTTTTCATCCGTCCTATTAACTGTCTCATATCATATTTGGTAATATTTGAGTAGTTTCAATTCATACTTACTTTATTCATAATTTATCAATTCAATACCAACCACACAACCCTACTTTTTCTTAAAAACCACACGTCACCTCTTTGTCCCAAACTTAGGGGGCAAAGGTAGTATTGTTTTAAAACATTTCCAAAAAAATTTAAAAGGTATAAATTTCACTAAAATATAATAACTACACTTGATACTCAAAGTGTATTACATAGTACAGAGTATCATTTACCAAGAATAGATAATTTCACCAAATTTTTATGGAGGATAAAAGTATTAAATATATTGTTCTTTAAAAATCGACGAATGAAGC